GAGCGGCGGCGCTTGGGCTGGGGCTCTCCTGGTGCCGCTCACTCCTTCGGGCGGGAGGGGCGTCCCGGCTGGTGGGCGAGGTCTCGGGCGTCTGGGGAGACGGGGTGCAGCGCGGCTGCAGTACCCGAGCTTGGGGTCACGTGTGCACCTGCGCGACACACTCGACCCTGCCGTGGCCCCGCCAGCCACCCCCTCGCCTCAGGCCCTGCTGGTGCTCCCCAGGGCACTGCTCCCCAGCCAGGGCCCCGAGTGGCCCCCCCACCCCGCGTGTGCCCCTCCCGGTGAGCTGCTCCCGGCTGGCAGCCTCCTGACCATCCGGAGACAGCCCGAGGTGCAGGCCATGCCCTGCTGTCCGTCCCGAGGGCTGAGGCTGCTGGGTGGCCCCGCTGGCCTGGGCTACAGTGCTGACTTGCTGCTGACCGCGGCCCCAGCAGGAAGAAGCTCTTTGTGGTCTACGGCAAGTGGACAGAATGCCTGTGGGGCATCGACGCGGCCGCCTACGAGTCCTTCCACAGGCAGGAGCGGCGGGGCGAGCTCCCGAAGAGGGCGAAGCAGGTGGGGGCCCCGCGCTCCTGGGGGGTGCCTGCTGAGGCCAGCTGCCTTCTTGGGGTGGCCAGAGAGCCCCCAGAGAGACCGCGGTGCCGAGCGCAGACGGCAGGCCTGCCCGTGGGCCGGACAGACCGGGCCTGGGCCCCGGCAGCACCTGTCTGAGCGCCCTGTGCTGCAGGACGGCGGCTCCCGGGAGGCGCAGGGCGCAGTGACGGACGCCCCGCCCGAGGCGCAGGACACCGTGCAGGTCATCCCGGGCAGCAAGCTCCTCTGGAGGGTCAATACCCGGCCCCCCAACTCCGCCCAGGTCTGTGCCCCTGCCCCTCACCCGCCCTCCACGGTGGCCGTCCCAGCCCCGCCCCCTCTGTCAGGGCCCTGCCTGAGCCCCGCCGCTGCGCGGGCCGAGACGCAGCCTGCGTCGGGCACGTGGGGCCCAGCCGTGGCGGGCGGGGCTCCCAGGTGGCACCGCAGCCTCTGGCCTGCACGTCTGCTGGCGCGTGGGCCGTGGTGCTGGGGCCAGCGGGGGCCAGCGGGGGCCAGCAGGGCAGAGGGAAGCTGTCCTGCTACGCTGGAGTCTCCTGCACCTGTCCGGTGGACAGGTCCCGGGGGCCTGGGACGGAGGCCCTGGCCAGAGGGGCGGGTGGGCACTCTGCCCCGGGGGCTGTGACAGAGGCCGCCGTGGGCCGGGGTGCCGTGGCTGAGGCCACCCTTGCGGACCTGCCTGCCTGTCCCCAGATGTACAACTTCACCAGTTTCGCCGTCAGCCTCAACGAGCTGGAGACCAGCATGGAGAAGACCCTGGCCCCCACAGACTGCCGCCTGCGCCCCGACATCCGGGGCATGGAGAACGGCGACATGGGTAGGGACCTGTGGTTCTGTGGGGCAGAGCGGCCCTGGGGCACCCGTGGCCGGCTGCCGCCTGCCCCCTGCTTCCCCGGGACGGTCCATGCCCGGCGGTGGCCGGCCCTGGCTCGGGTCCCGCCGCAGGGCGCTGGGCAGGCTGGGGCCTCTGGCCCGAGGTCAGGTGGACGCACCAGCCCCAGAGGGGCCACTGTAGGTGTCCACCCACGCTCTGCGGTGCTCACCCTGGCTGGCTGGCCATGCATCAGCAGCCCTGACCGGTGCGCCCGCCCCCAGACCTGGCCAGCCAGGAGAAGGAGCGGCTGGAGGAGAAGCAGCGGGAGGCCCGGAGGGAGCGAGCCAAAGAGGACGCCGAGTGGCAGACCAGGTAGCTGGCGTGCGCCCCCAGTGGGGTGCCAGGCTCGCCGTGTGTCCGCCCGCCCCGCCCCCCACCCTGGCCCGTCAGCTGGGCCTTTGCCTGGAGGCCGCGGCCCGAGAGCCGTGGGGTCCCGCTCGGGGCCAGGGCTCGTGCTCCCGACGTGTCGGGTCTGGACGAGACGCCCTGAGCGTCGCGCACGGTTTAAGTGGGGGTCTCTGCTGCCGGGGCCCTGGGGCGGGTGGGGCCCCAGCGGCCTGCAGGGCCGGCCGAGGCCCATCGGTACGCTGTTCTCGGACGTCGACAGCTGAGTTAGTTTTGTCCCGAGAAAGAGCAGCCTGTCCTTGCTGTGGGTTTTCCAGTAGCAGACTTTAAACACACACTGGAGGCAGTGACGGGGGGCGTGGGAGGTGGCCCCTGCCCGGGGAGCCGGAGGTCCCGCCTGGTCTCCACGCAGCCCCCAGTGTCCGGCTGCGCACGGGGTCCGGAGAGGGGCATGGCCACGCGGGCGGCCGTGGGCGCTGGAGGCCGCAGGCGGTGGCGCGACCCCTCTGTTCACAGGTGGTTCCGCCCGGGCAGCAACCCCTACACCGGGGCCCCCGACTGGCTGTACGCCGGGGGCTACTTTGAGCGGGACTTCTCGGGGTGCCCCGACATCTACTGAGCCCCAGCGGCCCGGAGCCCGGACGCCCACGGACACCACGCCGGGGCACCCTGAGGGCCGCCGTCCCGCCGGGGCCTCGCCGGGACCATCCTGCGGCCGGACGCCACCACCGCTGCAGCCTCCTTGCAAACCGCGGTTCTCCGCTGTGGTCGGACGGGAAACGCTCTGCCGGCCGCTTGGCCGCGGCACGACGCCCCGGGCACGGCCTGCGGAGGAAGCACCGGCCGCGGGACCCGCAGGCTTGCGGGCTTTCACCTCAATGGCGATGGCGGAACACAGGGATCTTGAAATAACCCTGCAAGCAGCTTTGAGGGCAGGGGCCCCTTTCTCCACTGCGGGATCAGGAGATTTCCAGAGCTCCCGAGAGCAATGAAAAGCCGTCAGGCTCAGTACTGTACAGGTCACTCTGAAGATATTTAAGTTAGAACTACTTGCATAGTATTTTGCTGAAGAGCGAGAGAGACGCTGCCCGTCCGCGCCGGCCCGGTTCGCCTCCCCCGGGGCCGGAACACTGCGCCGCCTGCGCCCCCTGG